ATTAGCATCAATATCAAAATTAAAATATTAATGATAATAAATAACATTAATTGATTAATATTTAAAAACAATTATTTACATTGATTAGTAACTTTGAAATTTGTATTAATTCTATTTTTGGTGTCTAAGATATAAAGTTTTAGACATATAAGTATCCGGGTAACCGGTTGAAGCATTAACCAGTTACCATGTTAATGTGATGAGTGATGTGGTATCCGGTTAATACTTCAGCAAAAATTGAGAGACTACAATAACATATCAAAACTTAAATTTGAGTTTTAGTAGTTAATAATTATAGAATACAAAAATCCTAAATATAAAATTATTGAAATTAAAATTAATTTATTAATATTTTTAAAATAGTATTATCATCGGAAATGCCCAAACCGCCCCTGCTCTACGACCATACCCTCCATCACCATGTGCCTGAGTTACTGAGTATTCAATATAACATAATGCCATTGCCTACAAGATAACACCCCAGTGGCTGAATAGTCAATTTATATATAAATTATAATCAATAAATATTTTATATATTTATACAATAAATGACAACATAATTTTATATAGATTTTAGATCATGTGAGACCACCATGTTTTCATGAGATCATTTTTTACACTTGAAACTTCACAGCAAAACCCTGTGAAGATAACCTTCACAATGTTTTTGTTGTGAAGATTCGATTTTTTTTCTATTTTCACAGCGTTTTGCTGTGAAGTTTCAAGTGTAAAAAAATGGTCTCACGAAAACAGACTGGTTTCACGTGAACCCAACTCATTTTATATATTTATAAATATTTATTATTTAATAAACTAAACAGACAGACTTCAATTCATTTAATAGATATGTTTCTTTTCACTCTACAGATTCAAAAGCAGGCCTCACCTAAAATTTTAACAATATTAATATATATATATATATATATATATATATATATATATATATTCATTTCAAAGAAGGACCTAAAAGAACTTATAAGGTGTCTGTTTAGTTTATTAAATAATAAATATTTAAGTATGTCTGTTTAGTTTGGCGGGATGTCTCCGTGCATTCAGCCGCGCCTGCACCACACAGTCGTGCCGCACTAGACAGCCTACACCCCTTGCTTCCCTTCCACCTTCTCCTGCTACTGCCTCTTGGGGAAGGAACAACACTTCTGTTTTAGTCCTACTTTCATCCACTACTAGTTCAAGAATTGGATTTCTCCTAAATTCTACATAGTGAGTTCACTCTATACCAATGAGACTTTATATTTAGATTGATGAGATGTGTTATGTGCCAAATACTCTGATGCATAGAACTGATTTAACTTAGATGAATTATAAATTTTGAGTCAATAGTGAATGAACTTAGGAGTCCCGTCGTTAATAATAGTATGGGCGGTAATGGCTTAAGTTCACTAGGAGAAATTACGATTCAAGTATTATCCGCCTAAAAACCGTAGAGGCCCTTATAAACCGTTACATGAAGTACTCTCTAGTTCTAAGGAAGTGCTACATTACCTTAGAAATTACTTGAGAATCTAATTGGCATTTACGCCTTCTTTTCTTAGAAATAGGTTGTTGTCTAAAAACCTATCTTCGGAGTGTAATGTGGTAAGGGCTCGGAAGCCGATTTATTTACTTTGTGAAGGGGTTGATGTGATTTGGATTTAGGCATTGTGATCATTATGTAACTTCCAAATCCACCTTCACATTCCCACTCGGAAATAGGCATTGAGATCATTATGTAATTTCCGAGGTAAAGAGCTTGAGATCACAACCGACTACATGACTGGTTAGGTTGATGTCACTGGTATAAGTGATGCTCTGTAACGTTGATTTGTGACTTACTTTGTGTTCCGTCACAATCAACGGTAAATCGGGTCTACCCCGTCATCTTCGGATGTTTTGACTCTCCCAAGTATTAGTTAAGACTTACTTTCTTTTTATACTGTTTAAAGTTACGTTATCTATATATATACATATATGTACACTCTTTCTTGCAACAAGGTCTTATAGTTACACTTATCCTATTGTTTGGACTCACTAGGCATAAGCCTAACACTTTTCTTGAAATGGCTTGTTATCAGGTTCCTTTAGCAGCGGGGTATCGAAAGGTTGAGAAGTTTGTCGTTCGTAAAAGTCATTTTTGTAGTCAAAGCACTTGGTGATTCGAGCGTTGCAATAAGGAGCTGTTTGACAATTGCTGAATGTTTTGGTGCAGAATGATTAAGTGGTCAGAATGATTAAGAGGCTCTCATGATATAGTGCAAAATAAAATATAATTGTTTGATAATTGTGTACATTAAAATTAGGGCTCTTAATGGTTAAGGGAGATACATGATACAAAATCATTCAAAGGGTTTTAGAACCATTAAAAGACAGACTATTTTTTTTGCCAAACAAGATTCATCTCTTAACGATTCAGAGGTTGTCTCTTAATGAAACTATTAAGAGGTAAACAAACAACTCATAACTCGCTAAATGAATGACTTAAAACTCTAATACTGACAAGAAACCCAATACCCAAAGCAATTATAACTTTTACAGTGCCACCGCTCAACTCAAATCTTGTCTGTTTAACAAATATACGACTTCTGAACTAACTGTGTTACACCCTGTTGAAATTTAACATTTATCTGATTTTAATTACAACCATATAATATATATTAATAATTATTTTGTTTAAAAGCAACATTTTCCCCCGCACATATAGCAACAAATTAGTAGGTACACCATAAATCTAACATACGTGTTTCTACATGTAGGTTTGATACGCAAAATATCATACATAACCAAATTGACGAGTCACACATATTCGATAAATGGTTAAAACGAGTAAATTAACGAGCCAAATCGATTTAATTTGACTCGATAATATTCTTATTAGCATTTTTACGACTCATAAGTAATTAATATATTAAATAAAAATGCAAAAAACCATCATTAAAAACCATCATTTTCTAATAAAACAATTTAGAAAAAAAAAATTAAATCTCGAGTCTATTTCACGCAACGTTTTAGATATCTGACTTGTTTCTTTTATAACCACATTTATTAGTCGTTACCCTTTTGACCAATTTCAAAAAAAATATAATTTAAATGTAGAGTAAATTATAGATTTGGTCTCTGATGTTTCAAAAATATATTCGATTTAGTCCTCGAAGTTTGTTTATTCCAAGATAGACCCTAGAATTTGTATTTTCGTAACATATTGATCCCTGCCACTGACGACACTTAACTCTCATATGTTAACTCAGGGGCATTTTTGTCTTGTTGATCTCTTTTGTTGTTTTCCTATTTTGTTTTATTAAAGTTTTTTTTTTTGCTTTTCTGTTTATTAATATTACCTACCCCACCCACCCTTTAAACCAAACTTAGGTCACAACCCCTCACACTTTCCTGAAACTTCTCTTGTCGGCCGAATTAGGAACGGGGTAGGGTGTCAGAGAATCAAGAACGGGAGGGGTGGCGGAGTTGTAGGCGAAAGGAAAGGTTCTTCTAGATTTAGGGATTTAGCGACAAACCCTTAATTGGGTGTTGACTTTTGGGTGATCACCGAAGATGAGGTTGCTGCCAGAGATGAGGGTGGGTGATCACCAGAGATGGGGTTGCCGTCGGAGACGAGGGTGGGTGACGAAGACGGGAATGGTAGGATGGGTCTATTTTGTATTTGTTTAGGGGTGATTGGGAAGGAGGTTGAGGGTGAGGTGGGTTGTTTAATAAAAGACAAAAATACCCCTTAGTTAACCGATGAGAGTTAATTGCCGTTAGTGGCAGGGATCAATGTACTATGAACATCCAAACTCTAGGTCTATCTTGTAATAAACAAAATATGGAACTACATCCAAGATGTTTTGAAAACCTTGGGGGACCAAATCCGTAACTTACTCTTAAATATATTTACACCAAACGAAAATTGAAATTTAAAATCACCTCTTTAATTTTAAATTACAAATTTGGTCCTTATAGTTTAGTGGTTATAACATTTTTGATCCCTACAGTTTTTAAATTAGAAATCAACAACTGAGGTATGTAAAAATGACTGGAACTGATCCCTACCTCCAATTCGTTAAAAAATTCTATTAAGTCAAGGGTATTTAAGTCTTTTTATATTTCACCTCTCTATATATATATATTACTTGTAAAATGTCTTAAATACCCTTGACTTAACATAATATTTTAAAGGCCATTAGAGGTAAAGACCAAATCAGGTCGTTTTTGCAAACCACAATGATTAATTTGTAATTTTAAAACCATAAAAACCAAAAGTGTTATAACCACTAAACAATAGGGACCAAATATGTAGTTTACTCTAGTTTTTAATTAATAGAAGAAAAAGAGGAAATGTATTTCAGAAAGAAAAAATTAGGAATATATCGATGATCACACAACTCATGAATGTTTCTGAATTGGCCACCAATTGCAACACCACACCCACAAATTCACCCGTAGATAAGGTCCCCTTTTCTTCCAATTTCAATTTCAATTTCAATTTCTCATTCAATTTCTCATTGCTTATACGACCCTAGTGTCAAATCAAGAAGCCGGTATTATACACACCACAATCGCTGTTCTCCCCCCTTCTGATTCTACTTTCCAATTAAAGCAAAACGCAGTTTTAAAACTAAATTCACTGTTTAACATATGTGGACTTTTAGGATCCACTAAAAGCATTCAGTATATCTATTCCAGATTGCAGTTTCCAGCTCTCCAAACCTTGCTTTTCCCTCTTTTCTTTCGTTCTTAGAACCTCATTTACTTCTTCCATTCTGTTCTTCGGTTTTTATGGCTTTTTGCATAATGGGTGTTTGTATATACTTCAATTAGTAGGATTTCTGAGTTGGGTTTTTGATTTTATTGAAGAAAGATTGAATCCTGGTGATATTTAGGAAGATGATGCCGGCGACATGCCATAATCTTGAGTTTGGTCGAACTAGTTTTGTTGATTTCAGTGCTTGTGGGTGTTCTTTTAGTTCTTCATTTCCTTCAAGAAATTATGCAAGAAAAGTGATTAGGAGTGCAAATAGGGGTGCCGGAAAAGTGATATCTTGCCGCCGGGATGATAATATTGCAAAGTGTAGAGTGTTTTCCACTGAAGCTCCTGAGACTTTGCTTAATGGTACTTCCCTTTTTTACTCATTTTTGAATTCTTTAGAAGACTGTGATTCAATTTAGTGAATTTGAACATGTTGTTTATGAATACAGGTACTCCACCAACATTAAGTGGGAAGAAAGAATCAAGGAGCCTGAATTCTCCATCAGATTTGTTTGAAGTTGTTTCTGATGATCTTTTAACATTGAACAAGAATCTACAATCTGTGAGTATCTGTGATTATTGTCTAATGGATTTGTGTTCTTCATGTGGGTTTGGATGTTCTTGATAACTTTGAATTGGATTTTGCTAGTTTAAGATACTTCAAGATTGAGGATTGAATTCATACTCGTATATGTGGTTTCCTTCTGTTTTTCATTACCCCTTTTTTGGATGAATCTTGGAAACATATCCTGCAAATGTATTTGTGTGTTTCTGGGGGATGAAACCATGGCCTAAAGCCATCATCCTTTGATCTTACATCAGAAAAGAAAGCACAAAAGTGTGTCTTTTGGTTAGTTTTGCCTCTTGAATAGAGGGTAGAGAGGTTGTTTTGGTGATTCTGCTTAGTTTTTGTCCACCAATGACTATTCACTTGTGAAGAATATGCTATCAAATCCTCTCTGCTTTAATTATTATAGGTTTTTATCAAAATTTATGTCGTCAATGGTTGACGCATTTCAACTCAGAATAGTGGTAGCTACTGTTTCAGAAAGTTGTAGATCCTTGCAAATAGGAAGTAAAAGTAAGGGTGGAATTGTGATGCACTTATGTAAAGAGCTAACCAGTTGTATGCCACAGTCATGTAGATCAAAGTCAACATTACATGTTTAGCAACAAATGCATATAACATATAAAACGGGTATTGGGTTCAAATGGGCCTAACCCGATTCCAACCAGATTCGTACAATTTGAAGATTTTACAACTTGATTAGGTATCAAGTGGCTTCAGGTTGGGTTGGTCGGGCTTTTGTGCACCCTTGTGATGTTTCTTTTGCTTTGTTCTTTTTGGCTAAGAAGTGACCCTCACTTTGTTGCTGAACTATTATGACATTGCTGATATTGTTTCGTGTGGTAGATCGTTGGCGCAGAAAATCCGGTCTTAATGTCGGCAGCTGAACAGATATTTAGTGCTGGTGGGAAGAGAATGAGACCCGCCTTGGTTTTCTTAGTGTCAAGAGCCACATTGGTGCTTGCCGGTTTAGAGTGAGTGTCTTTTTTCTTTCTTTCTTGAAATCCACCGATGGTTTGGTGTAGATTTTAATGAGTTTGTTTTTGTGACTCAGGGAACTCACAAGAGAACATAGGCGTTTGGCGGAGATCATTGAAATGATTCATACTGCAAGCTTAATACACGATGACGTGTTGGATGAAAGTGACATGAGAAGAGGTATGAATTTTGAATACGTAGAGATGTCTCTTGATATATCTGTTTCTAATGTAAACCAAAAGAACATGATATATCCCACCTGAGGTGGGGTCTGGGGAGGGTTAGGGGTTGTTTGGTTGGTTTTCCATTAAGTCATGTATGGATAAAGATGTCTGTGTAATTAATCCATCTGTATAGATTGGAAAGGTTTTTGTCTGGAATGGTTTTTCATGGATGAAAGAAATGTATTCTTTTAATTGGGAGGGGCAAGTTTGAAAAAAACTTGGCTTTCTGAATAAACCCTCCCCCAATAAGCTTACTGAATAAGCCACCTTCTCTATCATTAAGCCACTACCAAACAGTCATGTATAGTTGACCGAATAAGCTGCGAGTCTCATTAAACTACTAACAAACAGGCCATTTTGTGAAAAGTGTAATGAAGAGATAAAGATATGATAAAGAACTAGACATAACACACCCCTAGTCTAGCTTACCTACCATACCTCCTATCTACACGAGCTACGAATCCCCACCCCTAGTCTGCTACGCTAATGTAAGGGTAGATTAATAGGGAAAAAAGGACTCGGGGCCTGTTTGTTAGCAACTTAAGTCGCAACTTATTTGGTATATATGATTGTTTGGTAGTGGCTTAATGACATAGAAAATGGCTTACTCAATAAGCTTTTAAAGGGGAGCTTTACGTAGAAAGCCAAGTTTTTTCTAAAACCTACCCCACCCAATTAAAAAACATCCTCCTTCCATCTATGAGAAAAATCCTACCAAACAAAAACCTTCTCAACCTATACGACAGATTAATCCACACAGACATCTTTATCCATACAGGACTTAATGAAAAACCAACGAAACAGCCCCTAGGAAAAACTTCGTTTTGGTCACAAATTATGTGCTATTGTTGGTTTTTTTTGGGGGTTTTTTCCGAGGGGGTGTTTCTAGAAATTAAGCGTTTTTTTTTTCCTGTATGCAGGCCAAGAAACCGTCCATCAGATATACGGTACACGAGTGGCTGTTCTAGCTGGTGATTTTATGTTCGCACAATCGTCATGGTACCTGGCGAATCTTGAAAATCTGGAGGTCATAAAGCTTATTAGCCAGGTATATCATTGCGGGTTTTTTTAGTATTTCGTAAGCCTTAAAAAATTCACACCACTACAAAATCCGACGCCAAAGATGTCTTAATAGGACTTAATTATAAAGGACCAATAATTGTGTGTCCTGTATAAAGGTGTTACAATAGGATGTTAAGGCGTATTTCGGCATCCTAACAAGTTTTTCAAGACGCATAATTGTTTGGTCCTATAAATTTAAGTCCTATTAAGCAGTCTATAATGACAGATAGACATTATACGCCAGTCTTAAGAGAACCGATTTTGTTGTCGTGTCGAGAAACGAAAAGGGAAGCTTTAGAATTTACTTAAATTGTGACAGGTTATCAAAGATTTTGCAAGCGGTGAAATAAAGCAGGCGTCAAGTTTGTTCGATTGTGATGTTGAACTCGATGAATATTTGATCAAGAGCTACTACAAAACCGCCTCGTTGATTGCCGCTAGTACGAAAGGCGCAGCGATCTTTAGTGGGGTCGGCAAGGATGTCTGCGAGCAGATGTATCAATATGGCAAGAACCTGGGCCTGTCGTTCCAAGTCGTGGACGACATCTTGGATTTCACACAATCGGCTGAGCAACTGGGAAAGCCAGCTGGCAGCGACCTGGCGAAAGGAAACCTAACCGCGCCCGTGATTTTCGCTCTCGAAAAAGAGTCGAAACTGCGAGAGATCATCGAGTCGGAGTTTTGTGAAACGGGGTCTCTTGATGAAGCTATTGAACTGGTGATGGCTAGTGGTGGGATAGAAAGGGCTCAGATGCTAGCCAAACAGAAAGCTGATGCTGCAATCCAGTGTCTCAATTGCTTGCCTCAGGGTGCGTTTCGGCTAGCCCTTGAGGGGATGGTTAAGTTCAACCTTGAGCGTATTGACTAAACGGTTCTGAATTTGGGAAAATGGTCGAGATTTAAAGCCGCTAATGGCAGGGTTCAGGATGATGGCTCGATCTGTGGTTGAGACCGTCAATGAACGACTGTTGTTTTTTTTTTTTTGCGATTCCGGGGTATTCTTGGTCTCCGATCGGTTTATCGTATAACATATGGTAATGAAATTATAGGAAATTCATATAATTGTAAGAAAGGAAATAAAATGTTCATGAGTGTTGTATACTAATTATATTCTTTAAAGATGATCATGATTTTATGTTCTTGTCACTTTTTTTGGTTTCATATGAACTATTTTTATGTGTTACAATTTGAACGCTTTAGTTTTTTATTTCTATTCTGGTATTGTGGGCGTCCGGACCAGTTTTTGCCTACATTAATTAATTTTATGGGCTCTTTAAGATAACAGTCAGGAAAATTCTTAACGGTTTTTTTAAAAGACTTGACTGACGACCTACTGAGAGGACCCTCAAGGCCGAACCTTTATTTGAGAGTTTAGCCGACCCTCGAGGTTTGTTGATTGCTGGTTAGGGTGTGGTTTGGTATATGAGACCGAGAAACTTATTGTTTACAATGATGTGGAATAGGACAAAGCTTCGTTGTTTCACGTTTGATGTAACATGAGACAGAGATTGGGTGGACCGGATGTGATGAAGGTTTTTTTTTTTTGTTCTATCAAAATAGGTGGAATAAGATCGGTAAATATGAGGGAAAAACTAAAAATTACCAATTTACCCCTATTTGATGTAACAGTAATATAATAATATAGTATTGGCGGTGGCCACCGCTAGCCACCTCCAACATAATCACCAATGTCAACATCTGGCATGGTTTGTTGCTGCAAGATGTTCGATTTTCGATCAGTTGCAACGTCATTGAACAATCTTTTTGAGAATTCTCTGATTTTAGGTTTTATATATTCATCTGTATCTTGTTGAATATCTTATTTTACACCAACGTTACTGAAGTTGTAAAAAAGGTGGCACATAACTGATATTTTGGGTCAATTACCCAATCAGAAACTAAAACCGCTTGTTATGGCACACTGTCAAGCCTTTGAGAGTGTAGTGGAAAACTTCATCTACTTCAGGTTCGAATCCAGACGCCAACAGAACCCTTGTGGCCATGGAGGTTCACTTGTGACGACGACTCCAAACCATTCGTGGTTGCCTAGGGGATTAGTCGATGCGTGTAAGCGGACCCGGAAACCACGGTTACCCAAAAAAGAAAATCTAAAAACCCAAATTTTTAGAAGGGTAAAATTAGATAAAACAGAAAGATGAAGATGTATATGAAAATACATAAAAGTTTAGTGGCAAAATTGAAAGCTGGTTTAAACCCCATTATCCCAAATTGGATTGGATGACCAATTTCATCATAAATTCTCCCCCAAATTTTCAGGCGGGTAGATTTCCTTCGATTCGTTAGAGATATGAGATTATGGTTCGGTAAATGGACCGCCATTGCTAAAGAATCAGCTGGTCGAGCTGCCATTTTCGCGAAATTCCTCTGCTTGCTTCACGTCACCAATACTTACATATTTTCCCCAATTCTCGTAATGCATCGATTTCTGAATCTAATGTTATGTGTATCTGTTTATGTTGTGATGGTGGTGGAATTTTCGTTTCAGGTGTATGGGCCAAGTATGCTGCCGACGTTGAATTTGGCCGGCGATGTTGTATTGTCGGAATACATATCGCATAGGTTAGGGAAGGTAGGTCCAGGTGATGTTGTTTTGATTCAATCGCCTGAAAACCCTAGAAAAATTATCACGAAACGCATTGTCGCCATGGAAGGCGAAGTTGTTTCGTTTTTGGTTGATCCAAGCCGCAGTGATAGATCTCGTACTGTAGTGGTAACACTCTTATAACCTGTTTCTCATTCTTTCCTTCAAAAATTGCTTGAATTTTGTTACATTTTTCATTGGATATGGAAGAATTTATGAATTAGGCAAAGCAGGAGATTGTATGATTTGCTTTTTTCATGTTCAAATCTCAATTGCTTTGATGATAAATTCAGGAACTTCTAGTCTTGTTTGATATTTGGCAATGAATTGAACACATAATTTAGGGCTTTTTCTGATGCCTACGTTTTTATATAGTCTTTGATGCATCAAGATTGTTGATTGTGACCAAAGGGTTATTGGTCCAACGGTATCCAGGTTACTGGTAGATCCTAGCCTTCCTGGAGGTCTAGAGTTCAAACCTCACCAAAGATGAGGAGTGTGTGTGAGTTTTCTGTTTATAAATGTTATGGGCAGGTTCCGTTAGGAAATGGAACCTAAAATTGATAAGAAACCAGGTGACCACCCACATGGCATATTCATCAGGAATATGGATGTGTTATTCATCATGGACGTGTGATTGATGATGAATAACAATCATCATAAATGTGATATTCATGATGAATAACACGTTCATATTAATAATGAATGCGATATTCATGATGAATATTCCTAATCAATTTTGGGTTCCTAAATGAACGTCTCTCATAGAATGTTATATACTTCAAAAAGATTGTTCATTGTTTTTGTGATTGAACTTATAGGTGCCAAAGGGGCATGTGTGGATCCAAGGGGATAACATTTACGCATCAAATGATTCTCGGAACTTTGGTCCAATTCCTTACGGCCTTATTCAGGGCAAAGTTTGTTGCAGGGTAAGTTCGTAGTTTCATCACTTTCGCTTTTCTATATATGAATATGATCAACAAAGCTGCAATTTAAACCGTTCGATGCTGAATCCAGTAGAGTAGTTAATGGGTCATCATTATATCTGATCTTGCACTTGTATATGCTTCGACTATAGGTGTGGCCAGTAAACTGTTTTGGATCGATATGACATCAAGATCACCAGGATATCCAAGACTTCTAGGATACTGGCGGGTTCAAATGAGAATCATAAATATTTTGAGAACTTGGGAACCAACTGCTTCATGAATAAATCATAACGAATATCATGCATTTTCATTATTCATATACTCGTAATGAGTATCTATCACAATATTCATTGTGAATAATTCATGAAAATAGTTAGTTCTTAGGTTCTCAAAGTATTTACGGTTTTCACTTGAACCTGCCCCTTTTAGAATATTAAGCATGCTGAAGAACATTTTGTATTACCTATATGTAGAGCAGATCTTGGACACTACTTCATGTGGGATTTACTGGGTTCGTTTGATTTGATTTAGTTGTAAGGACATGAATAATCGACGTTTTTTGAATACAAATCCATATATTTGAATCAGATTTTGTCGATGATCGTTGATAAAGAGAAGCACAATTTATTCCGGATAGACATTGGTACGGTGCTAGCTATAGCAGTTCCTAGCACGATGAGTTAGGGGTCGTGTTAACCACAAACTTCCGAATATAACACGAACCACTGGTTTGGATGCTATATCTTGTGGAGAATCAAGTGAGCACCATATCGGGGTTGAAGGGTAACAACGTATGAAGGGGAGTGAGTGTAGGAAGGTGATAGTTCGAATGAGAAATGTTGTAGGATTGTCGATATGGCCAGCTTAGCTTCCATCAATGCAAAGTTATTCCCGATGCAAATTCGAGGGCCCCAACTGAAAGGGAAAAAGGCGAGCTTGTTCTTCGTTGCCTTTGCTATTCCCTCAGAAAATCTCTCGGGATTGAACTCCTTTGCATCTTCCCCCCAAATTTCACGATCGTGATGTACAAATATTACCGGCAACAGGAATTGTACCCCTGCGGGTACGGTTAGGTCTCCGAGTTTGGTCTCGTTGTATGTGATTCGTGTGAAAATGGTTGCAGGTGAGTATAGCCGGAGAACCTCGTATAGAATCATGGTTACCTGTAAATTAGAACGTTTGGTTTGTCATATAATAGAATAAATATTTAATTTATGATAGCGTTGGAGGTCAGGTTTAGGGAAAACCGCAAAAGAAATGAAAATCTTAGGAACACCCTGGTAATTGTTTATCTGGACGGTATACATATGTGCATACAGGTAATTTGTAAGTAATTTGTCCGGTATGCACATTGTATAAAAATCAAGAAACTGTTTCAATTACTTGTATGCACATCTGCATACGTGTTCCTCAGTTTTTCATTATTTTGGGGTTTTCTCCTGAACCTCCCTTTTATAGCGTTGATATCTATTACTTACGACTTTTAGGCGACTTAACCCTTCGTAATTTGGTTTATTTTGTCCAAAAACTTGGCGGATGTCCTCCCGGGCTCTCGTTTGCCATATTGGGTGTTGGCTCAACAAAATCATGGTCCAAACCAAAAGATTCGAAGAGCTCTCTTGCCCGGCGAAATAGAACGATTTACACTCTTCGATCGCCTCGTCCACGCTCATCCCCAGATCCCCGTTTGCTTTCATGGTCGATTTCAACAACAACGATAGTAAATCTTCGTGATCGTCGCTTTCCCTTGAAATCATCGCCCGTTCTTTTTTCTCCATGATTTTGGTTAGAATTGACCTCAACTCATTATCGATTTGCTTCATTCTCTTGTTCGTTTTGGTTGGTAAAAACCTGCACGTTTTTACGGTTACTAAAACCGTTCGGTTTCAATTGGGGGGGGGGGGGGACGAAACAATAATGAAACATATCGTTTACCTCCATCCAGGGAGGTACACCGTCTGTAGAACTTGACGTGTGAGCACGGCTTGTTCTTTTTGAAGTCGATATATCCTTCTACCTTGTTCGTAGCTACTCCCGAAAGCGTTTCGAGAAATCACATCGCTTGCAAAATCATCGATGTAAGGTTGCACGTCTAACTCGCACCAGCCATTCTTCGAAACCAACTTCGACCATTCGGTCACTAATATGTCGTTACAGCTCGTGTACATAGCCGAAAACATATGCTACGATACAAACAACATTTCAAATGAGTAACATTTGCGTAAAATCGTCTAATATTGTTATCTATACTATATTATAAAGTATTTGATAATAACTTTTAAAAACCATTTTTTATGTATGAAGTACCGTTTATTAATGCATATTACTTAAACTTCTAGATTACAAATAAACTGTGTGTAAGTACAACTTATTAAAGCTTCATGTTTGAATTCACGTAACTAACTGCAGAAGTGCAGATAAACATAGTCAAATATAAGATAAATATTTCAATTTAAATATAAAAAATTAAAAATATAATTAGGATAATCATTGTGTTTTAACAGAATACTTAATTATTATATTTATAAAAAATATATTAATAAATCAAAAATAAATTACTTCGTTATTAAACCTAAACTAATTTATAATAAAAAAACTGAATTAAAGAAATTACACAACAAAACAAGAAATTCTAAATAGTTAATTTGACATCAATATCGATATATTTTTTTCAAAATTATGAGATATCTTTAAATTTATATTTTATTCAAAAATAGAAACATTATCGTTTTTCTCAAAACCACATAAAACCGTATTATGACATCGACAGGGGACAAAATAAAACGAAACATTAAAATCAAGACGTATCTCGTTGTATTACACGAGTACCCTTCTAGTACATAAAAATGGGTCGATTTTTGGTTATATTTTACTTTTAACGAATCCGATTGGCAAAATATAGAAAAATTAGCTAACAAAAAAACAAGTTGAACAATTTCAGTAGCGGAAAAAGGTTCGAACTTTTTAAAACCCACTCAGCTTGGGGATTGAAAAAATGACCTAAATGGGCTTTTTCAGGCCCCACTTAGCTTATGGGGTTAGAAAAATGACTTAATCGGGCTTTTTCTGTCTCCTTTTTTGGCATAACCAGACTTTTCTAGGTCAAACATTTTCGGACCGCGCTTGCTATTTTGGCTTCATTAGGCTGAGGTCTGCATCGAACCATGCTTCGCTATCACTAGGTTTGGGCTTTTCCAGACTGGAGTTGTCCAAACTGCGGGTTTTGACTTTTTAATGCATCTCTGTTCTGGATTAATAAAACAAAAGAATGGAGTAGAGACCAAACCAGACCAATAATATTTTGTTCGCTTCTAGATGTTTCAAATTCGGTTCTCCGTTAAAGATTTTTTCCAGAATCAATTCTCGATTTTGCCCAAATTCAAATAAAATTCCGAACTGGTTTACTTAATTTTCAATTTGGATCAGTTCTGTTTTAGGTATGTATTTTTAAAATCAATAAACAAAGTCAATTATGTGTTTGGTTGACAGTTTGTTTGGGATCAAACTAATTCTAAATCAAAACCGATACGTTCGATTTTTTTGTTTCATCAATTTCTTTTTTCGATTCAGTATGCATCCAACCTGATGCATACCCCTAATTAACATACTGCTTGTAATGATGTCCCAATTTAACTGTTATGTTAAATAATTAAATTAAGCTTTAACATAACTGATATAATTTATACAAATATAAGATTAAAAATATACAACTGATAAAACTATAAAAATTTCAACCGTATGTACCTTCAATTTGTCTTGAGTAAGAGCAGGTGCAACAATCTTGCGATGTTTGGCCCATTTTTCATCTTCGTAGCTCGTCATCCCAGAAACCAGAAACCTAACGAGCGGGTTGGGGGTTGGTTTCTTGTAAACCCTATTGTTCACTAGAACCTCTTTGATTAGTTCTGGATCCATGACGTTGATCCTTGCGATCGGTCCCATCCACGCAAACGAATTTTTACCTGGAATTTTTCATCATTTCATATATGGCTTAGTCATAGGTCGGCTTAACCCGACCCATACTGAATATAAGACGATTGATACAGTGGATCAGACTTTTGGTCCAGTTAATAACGATAGTGCCTAGGCATGTACATAATTTTGTTTCAGTCACTTTGTATTGCAAAATGTCGAACCAAGCCAATCAGATTACTTGGCTCGGTCAAACTGGTCGAATCAATCCAAATGGTCTGGTTTGACTGGTTTAATTACTTGAAGTGAAATTTGAAATGAACGACCAGAGAGGTTCGAATTTGAGGGAAAGGAACTCTTGTCCTTTAATGGAAAATAACAGCTGTATTATATAAAAAGATAAATAATTATTTATCAGTGATTTTTTACATACGTTATATGTAGTTTCATATCGTTTATAGTTCAGATATTTCTCCGCAATATGTTGAAGCCTCTTTTATTTTTTCATGGGTTCTATTTAATAAAGTGATCTGATGGGATTTTACATATTCACACATGATATCAAAGTTAAAGTCTACTATTCTAAGGACTCGACACTCCATGACGGACTTTACCCGTATAACCCCCTTTTGACACTCTGGAACTATTTGTGTCTGTGTCATCTTCGTTGGACAGAGTAGTAGAGCATTTTCAACAGATTCTTCAAGAGAATCAAAATTCAAAATCTCTAAAAAAACCTTTACATTCAACTCCAACAGTTTCTCCATTTTGAGGATCGCAATATTGATTATATTATTAAAATATTATTTTTCTCTCATAAACATTTAATTTCAAAGTTTTTTTTATTGACGTGTGACAAAAGAATTCTCTCTCATGGTAATTATATTTGTGAAGCTCTACAAAGTTGGAGAATTTCACGCTCTCGTACTTTTTCCATTTTAAAGAATTTGTTGCAGTAAAAAGCTTATCCAAAATCTCGATTTTCTTCATTTTGAAGAATCTGTTTTGAGATGCTAATAGAACCCAAAATCAACAAGATTTGAATAATTTCTTCTCAATATATACCGAAACGTCTATTTTCTTCTCGGGGACTCTTTGAAGGGTAATTTAACGAGTGTTTCACATATTATCACCATGTATATATGGTTCGGTTCAGTCAAAATGATGGGTTTTATCACTTTTAAACCGATAACAAAACCAGATTAAGACTTGAAAAAAATAGAACTAGTCATATTGCTTTGATTTGGTTCATTCAATGTTAGGGCTTGTTTGTTAACAATATATTCGAGCTTATACATGACTATTTGGTAGTAGCTTAATGTAATATAAAGCGGCTTATTCGATAAGCTCCTAGAAGAAAGTTTTGTATAGAAAGTCAAGTATTTCCAAACATGTTTATCCCAATTAAAAACATACTTCTTCCATCTATATAAAAAAAAACCCCTCCTAATCTATACATACAGATTAATCCTCACAATAAGCTTTATCCATACTATACTTAGGGGTTATTTGATTTGTTTTCCACTAAGTCTAGTATGGATAAAGTTGTATAGATTAATCTGTCTATATAGATTGAGAAAGTTTTTGTTTGAGAGAGTTTTTCCATAAATCTAAGGAGCGTGTCTTTTTAATTGGGAGATGCAGATTTGGAGAAAAAAAAATCAGCTTTCTGCATAAAACATGAATGAACCCAGAATTTTTTTAAAACGTTGACATCATTTAACTATAAGAAACAAATATAGGTTTATTTTTCACAAAATCATCATTAGTTTGTTGGTTAGTTCATTGTTTTCATATAACGGGATTCGAACTCGGGTCTGGAATGGAAGAAAAGTCCTGCAAACCAACTCTAACGAGGGAAACTTTTGTTTTCATTGTAGTTTCAAAATATATATGGTGTCACACAACAACTTAATACGGCGACACTTTTCACAATCCTATAATTTTTTACATTACTACGGATGAACGAAATGGTGGTACGTGCCACCACGAAAACCCTTTCGGTCCATCCCGACATAAAGCTCCCTCTTATAAGCTTATTGAATAAGCCATTTTCTATATCATCAAGTCACTACCAAACAATCATTTATATCTAACCAAACAAGTTGTGAGCATTTCATATTATGATAGATTCATTGTAGGTGGCCAAGGGCAACTAGGTACTCTTATAAGATATTGTATATATGTTCTATATATATATATATATATATATATATATATATATATATATATATATAGGCTGCCACCAGTTCTGACACATGAACCACCTCTCTCCACCATTATCGCCACCATGACCACCGACGTGAACCCACCCTAGTGGCACTACTTGGTGTAAACGTTGGCATGATTTAATATTCAAAACCCTAGTAATAGTGACAATACAATAACAGCTATAAAACACTTAAAAAAAACGAAGTTAAATAATTACCATAGGTCTGGATGATGTGGTGGTGGAACGGCAGAATGGTGGGTAGAAAGTCGTCGGAAAAGCTCATCGGTTTGGAGTTCACGGCGGCGTGGCGAGCCATGGTGGCCATCTGGTTCATATCTCCATGCAACAATCTGTATTCCGGTCCATTCAGACCTTGTTTCCTCAAACATCTTTCGATGGCTCTTGGTCTGAGCCAGACCCACCTCATCACCGTCCAAACCCACCATGCTCCGCCGATCACCGCCAATAACGCCACCGATGACAACATTGTAATCATATGTATGTAACAGTTAATGATGATGAAAAGTGATATATGTTTGTTTCTTTTGGGGTGGTAACAAACTTATAAGCTTAAAAGGGTATCCTTAAAGGGAGCTGCTAACAAACCATTGGTTTGATTAAAAAATAACCTAAGTTTCGAATCTAGGGTTGGACCACTTTGATTTAATATACACATGTTTTTTTATAGACTGTTTTTTTAAAAGGGTAGTCTCAGATTATGTCTGGATTAATCTTGGTAAACTGTAACTGTAAGAAATCAGTTATGATAAACTCAATGGCTATAATTGTTGTGACGTCTGACATTGAACCCTGAGCAGATAGGATATTCTACCACATCCCCCACTCAGGAGCTCAACCATTACGTCACAACTCTTGTGGTTTATAATAGACTGTTTTATAGAGCTTCAATCTATAGGATCAAACGATAAAACGTTTTATGTAAAGTGCTATAATAAGTTTATATATATAACGTTTTTTGGACATCTTTATAATAAAATGTTGTATTATTCTATTTTAATACGACCTTTTTTGTAAAAGTGCCGTATTGGAAGATGTGTTCATAGGAATTTCTTAAAAGTGTCTGTTGGGATCCAAGCGCTTACCACTACGCCAGAAGCAATTGCCGGTGAAGAAGACGCAACTTATTTCCTTATAGCGTAGCAGCCATCGCTACGTTTTGATTTAGGAAGATGCTGGTCAATGACCCAACAGTGTCTTATTGAATAACCTAATTCAACACTTTATTTTAAAAACATTTTAAGAAACTTGTTAAGATATATATACCTAATTAAGTCATGTGAACTTATCATAATACTTTTTAGATACAATGATTTTTCGTTTGGTCCCGTAAACTTAAGTTTTATAAAACGGTTTATTATGGCACGTAGGATGTGTTTGATATAGAGTTATTAAACAGTAATCAATGAAAATGAAAATCTAAGGGGTGTTTGGTTAGTTAATATGTAGAGAGAGAGGGGGGGGGGGGCTGGGGCTTATACTGGAACAATAGAAATAAAAGAACATGAAAAAAAAAGATCAAATCACATGTGATTTTAATTCTATACTGAAATCACATGTGATTTACACGACGTTGGCCATGATATGAGGTTGTGGGTCAGGTTGTCTGCTCACTCTTGCGTTTACCGTGTTTGTAATTGCATGTAAAACCACATGTGTGCACTCCGCACCTCATGACTTCTTCGTGTCCGGGGTCATACTCGTCTTTATAACAGGTGTGCACTCTGCACCTCATGACTTATATCAAAACACAGTATAAACCCCATTAAAACCTGTTGTACTTCCAATTACATTTAAATGGCCTTAAAATCACCAACATTATAAATATATATAATTAGAAGATTATGACAATAGAAAATCAAGTAAGAAAACAAGAGAATACATTATAAAATCAGAGGCCTTTTATTTTCTTATTTTGACTTGTTTTTGTTAAATAATTGTAATTTTACAAAATTCATCATCTTTTTTAATAAAAAATTATCTTAATTTTTAAGTTTTGTTTGCAATTTTTCTTACATTCGCCGGCTTTCTTAGCAGGTGTAGAAGTATGAAATCTTTCTAATAAATTATTCAAATAATGCAAATGGTGGAGACCGGAGATTATTGCATTGGTTTGATCTTCTCTTTTCCAGCAATATAAGGGTTTGAATTTTTCATGTTATTTTTTCTTGGATTTGTATGAGCATTGTCAATCGCTACATTTACATTGCGAATAAGGTCAAGCATTTTGACAAATGCATGTGTTGCTTAAAATGAAAGAAAATACAATGATATTGCAATTCACATGAAAGATGTAGAATACTGCAATGAGAAACTAATAATGCAACAGGCCAACGTGCTGTGGATTCAACCTTTTAGGGTTCAAATTCAACCGGAAGAAAACGGTAAAAAGGGTTGATAGAAAAGTGGCAGGAAACGCGATATGCAGGCGTTCTGGGTTTGTCTAAGCACGGGCAAGAGCCAAGGGTTGATCAAGAGCTTGAGAAGAGTCATCAGTGATGGCAGTAAGAGTTACAGTGTTAACGCATACAACCAATGGACTCCTAACGGTATAGAACCCATCAGACCAAACAATCTCACCATAATCGTATCTCCCTTGTGACACCTTTTGTGGTTTCAGAGTCACGTAGTACGAGAGTTCACATGTGAAATATGAGAAAAACAAGATTCTTGGCCAAACTGTAATCTCTACTCCATGAGGACTAAGAATTCTGGCAAAGTATATGGTCGTTTTCTTGGCACCCACGTTTCGAACTGTCCTTTTGATAGTGATAGTGGACTCAAGACTAGAAACGGTGATGGATGGATAATTCAGATTTGTGTTGGTCTTGAATTCTTTTGGGCAGATTACAGGAGTTCCAGGTGGGAGACCGATGATTCTTTTGATTTGATCTTTGGTGTATCCATTGTTGCAAAGGAAGAGAATGTAATCATCAGCCTTCATGTCGTAAACCAGGCCTGGGTCCATTGCTTTCATGGGGTTAAGGTGGCCAGCTCCTATGTCAAATGGACTAGATTCTTCATTTGATCCCCCAGCTAATATGGTGTCATGATTCGTGTCCCTGTTGTAGGCTGTTGACATACAATAAACAATCTTTTAAACATGCTTGTTGAAGTACTGCTATTGTTCGTTTTATTTTTAACGTTTTCATGCGTTCAATGTTGATATTTTTATGTGTCTGCAGGACCATAGCCTTTCTTGAATGTATAAAGAGGGAGAAGTACAATTATCTTGTTTTTGTTTAAGAGATGTTGGTTGTGATTGGTTGTTAAGTACCTGTTGTCATTAGAGCAGATCTAATGGCTGCTGGAGACCAGTTAGGATGTACTGATTTGAGGAGAGCAACCACGCCAGATACATGAGGGCATGCCATTGATGTTCCTGACTGGAAATTCCATTCTACAGATCTTTGATCATTCTCTGTCGAAGTAGGAGATATTCCGGGAGGCCATGCTGCTAATATGCTGATTCCTGGAGCACTTATATCTGGCTGATGAATGATATAACTATAAGTTCTTGTTAAATCTTTTTTTTTTCTTCTGGTTAATTTATTATCTGGTTGGTGATTACTTTCCATTGGTCGTAATTTAGCAAAGAAAAACTGTTACATGGATTATATGATTAAATATCGGAAGTGGATCTAAGTACCTTGAGAATATCAGGTGAAATCGAACTTGGGCCTCTAGATGAAAAATCTGCAACAACAGGTGCTGGTGATACTTTGATAACTGTCTTACTTGGAAATATGTGCACCTTAGGGGGCGTCATCCTTCATTTTTCAAGAAATCGATTCCATAAATAGACAGTAACTATCCACACGTGCAATCATTCACACAATTACAAACTCTTACATGCTTTGAGATAGATAATGGTTCATTTTAGTGCCTTGAATCATGTCCATACGAATGGTGGGAATTATATCCACATCCACATATTGACGAGTAGGTGAGTCTACAAAGATCAAGCCTGTGGCATTTGCTATCCAAGCTGCAAATTCTGCCTCTTCAATCTGCACTTGTCCTTGGGTTGAGAAGCACAGAATCACTGTCCCTACAGCACTGTTATTTCTCCACATATCCATTCTGCATATCCTGTAAGTTCATTCACTTATGCTTTTAGGATAGTTTTGTGGTATCATATAATCATCTGATTGTAGTCTTAGACATATCATCATACATTCTCTAAGGTCCATTCTTTCTATTAACTATTAGTTATTAACTTCGACATACAGCTCGCTTCACAAGAATTCCAATATGTTGATTTGGCCTTGTGCAACAAGCCAACACGATGTGTATTTATAGTTATATGTCTATGTATTCTTGTATGTGCATATATCATATATGGATATATGTATGTGTGGTGCACACACACATATATACACAGAGAGAGAGAGAGAGAGAGCGCACCCTCCAAAGAAATAACTGTCAGATCCAACCAGATTTGCTTCTATATGTTTAGTATTAAAGCTTTCTCCCTGCACAGAACAAGTTAATGACAATCTTTATGTGTAAATTGGCATTATGTTTTTCCTTCTTCAATGTTGTTTTTTGCATGGTAGGTACGTTCTTTTCTTTTTACTGTTATGTTAGGGGTCATGTTTAGTATGCATATATTCATTAAAAACTTTTATAAACATGTGATTTATTGAAAATAAATGACAAAAAAAAAAAGCAATTAAGTTAGTTACCTTGAAAGAGAGACAATTATCCAATAATACCCGTGTTGGAAAATTTCGATCAATAGATGAAGCACCAACGCATGTACTCCAAGGTGCAACGTTTTTGACTAAAGATGGATCTGGTCCATTGTTACCTGCCGAGAAAATAACACTAATGCCTTTTTGCATAGCATGGAAAGACCCTATATCAGAACTCCATTTGTAGAGGGGAAGCAGTGGTAGCGGTGAACCAAAAGAGGCGGATATCACATTAACTCCATCATGAATTGCTTCATCAAAGGCTGCTAAAATATCAGCTTCACTACACTTCCCAACCTCCCAACACACTTTATACACTGCTAATCTTGCTCTAGGTGCTCCTCCTCTAGCAGTGCCCTGTCCAAACCCAGAAAAGCTCGCCATTTTAACTGTAGACCCCACTGCTGTTGAAGCTGTGTGGGTCCCATGGCCATTAGCATCCCGTGGTGACCGGTATTCTAATGTTTCACTTGTATTCAGTGGGCCATGTTCTTGCTCGTATCCCTTGAGGTAATAACGGGCCCCTATAAGCTTCAAGTTACAAGCTTTTTTAGGATTGAAATTTTCGCCATGAACACATTCTCCTCTCCAAGTTCTTGGAATTGGATGCATTCTAGGCTCTTCATGGAAACTCTTAGATTCTGGCCAGATGCCTGATTCATTAGAATAATAATTATATAATTTACATGAAATATATCCAACTTTATCATGTATTTTCTCATGCTACATATATGTCATGTTTAAAGCACAATGCCTGGCTTCTAGAAATTGATATCCAAGTCATCCAGCTGTACATATAGAGAAACCATTGAAACATCCAATTTAATCTTGGGTAGAATGACGGTCATATGGTACAAACCATCAATGCATCCAGGTTTTGTCAGGAAGAATCAAAAATTTTCATTAAGGTTGATAACATGAGTTGTGTCTGCAATACCGGAATCAAATAAGCCAACAATTGTGCCATCTCCATGAGTTAGTTGCAGTGGAGTTGCTTGATCAGCAATGGGTTCTAAGTTGAGACCCATGAAATCCCAACTTCTAGTTGTGTGCAACAGCAGTATCTGGCTCTTGAACACTGATATCACTCGTTCCATGCCTGAAATATTATTTCTTTCATTAATTAATCATCAAAACACTTGATATGTCTAGATCTTTGAGATAAATCATAAAAGTACTCTTTCACATACTGGCTAAGTTAGCTGCTTGTGATGAATTAATTTTTGCAGAAAATCCCGAGAAACTATGTTTGTAGCTATATAGCATGGACTCCCTTGCATCTTCTTGGCTTGAGGAAGAATTAGTGATAAGTATGATCAATAGTGGGGAGGTCTTGTTGCATATTTAGTTTTCAGATGAAACATAATGGGAACTAGAGGGGTTTGGGAGACTCACCTTGGCAAGACACTGGAAAGGAGCTCAAGATGGTAATTTAAAGTGAGGATAGGATCTTGAATATCATTGCACCCTAAATAGACAATGTAAACCTGTATAAGACGACAACGATAAAACAAGAAGGCAGATGTGAGAATTGCATTAGAGAGGGGACCAAAACATGAAAAAAATTAAAAGTACTTTTGGTGGTAAAGTTACATCTGAAGTGGATGGTGAGTGAAAAAAATAAAGTGATAAAAAGAAGAGGCCCAAAAAGGAGCGTTCAGGTCTGGTTGTCATCGTTCCTAATATGGAAAAACTACAACTTAAGTCAGGCTTATATACTGAAGTAAAAGGATAAACTGTTATTTTCTGAAGAAGGTGGCTGCTAAGAGAGTCAGTGGTTGAGGAGCTGCTTGCAACCGAAGATATTGAAGCTATAAAAGCTCTGACATAGAATCATGATGGTATTTGCTCTTATACGGCAGTGGACAATGGTTGCCACTTTTTCGTTTTGTTTGTACATTGCTTGTGTGTTAATGTGTTAGATTATTATACCATCTAGTGTATAATATAGCCCCTTAGGTAAGATACAGCCGAAGACCACTTCTTAAAGCTCTATCATGGACACTATGGATGCCACCAAAGAGTAGTACATGTGCTCTTCATCATTCCTGAGTTAATAAAATCACTTTTTTACCCTTCTTCTGGTTCATGGTTATGATTAATATACAAAGATAGCAGCATTTTATTAATACTAGATTCCAATGTAATGCCATATTAGGGTTATTTTTAATACACTGATAAGACTCTATTCTTCTGGAAAAAACAGTTTTATGCGATGATGCACTATAAGTCTAGTTTGTATACATCGTAAAATGTTATTAGATAACTCAATGCGATTTCTGTACTTTGATCTTTAAGTTTTGTTGGTTATTCTCTGTATATAGACTAAAAGGTTCATTATGCATGATGCTTTTTAAAGGTATGGTGCTCATTGCTGAAAGTATATGTAGGTTTCTAGTAGATACGGAGGACCATTTTGTGGTGTAAGGATACTTGCTTAACTTGAAAATGATTAAGCTATCAACAGAATCATTGCTTAGCCATACTCCTGCTCAACAAAAGTTGCATATGTGATGGTCAGTTGTCTTGCGTAGAATTGCAGGATTATTAACAAGGACTTGCAGCTTAAGAAACACACAGAATTGATAAGGAATAAAGATTGAATGATGAAGCAAGAACACATGCTTGGTTAGTAGGTGTCTAATATATGCCATAGCAAGTATAATTGCACCTCCATGCATCATAATTTCGATTGAAGTAAAGCAACTTGTTTGCTTTGATAAGCATAATCCTAATTACAACTTAAAGCAGTTTTCTTCTATGGTGAAGTTATATATATGTTAGAATTTACAGGTGTTTATTGCTTGGATTACTGAAAGTTGTGATTCACTTTCAGATTGAAATATTTCGATGGTATAATCGAAACTTCAAACGGATAAAATTCAGTAATTCGAACAGAGAATCGATGTTATGAATCTTTCTGTACCCTCGAAAATCAAATGACCAATACGAAAAAGATTCGAAAACTGTCAAAAACGGCAATTTCAGAACCACCAAACCGGGTTTAAAAAACAGGGCCAAAAACCGGCTCTGCCCCTTGGACCCCGCTACCAGGGGAGCTGCCCCCGGACCCCGTCGTTAACGGTATACTTTAAATCGAAATAAACTCAAACAAGTGTACACTCCGCACCATCCTTACTTATTCAATATTTATCAAAATTACATTAGTCAACAAATTAATCCCATTACACTTAAATGATATTGGTGATACAAATCACCAATATGTACGTGTGCATCCAACAAACAATTTTGTTGCAAACTAGTTGTTACACTATTATGGATTAATTCCTATGATATAATAAATGTTAAAGTTAAGTAGAATATATATATATATATATATATATATATATATATATATTGAGTTTGTAAGTAATATATAAATGCAAAGAAGGAATATTGAAATTGTTTGATTTAAAAAAGAAAAGAAAAAAGCATGGAAACAAAAGGAGTGGTTTAAGATGGTTTTGATGGGTTTTAATGATATGAAAACATAGGTAGATGCTAAAACGTATCATAGCACCTATGTTGCTTAGGAATTTGGGTCACCTTTTTATTTATTCATAAAATAAGCTTCTTGTTTTATACTAGGGTTTGATTTACATTATACCATAAAATAATATTGAATTTTTACAGTAAAAACATTATGAATGTACAAAAAAAAAATCGAACATTTACAACAAAAACACTGTAAAGATTCAGTGTTATTTTTCTAGTCTCACATGATCTCAAGTCTTTATATTATATCTTTTAATTATATATATATACATATATATATATATATGTGTGTGTGTATGTGTGAGAGAGAGAGAGAGAGAAAAGAAATAATTAATTATATATTAATATTCGTATAGACTTGGGACCATACAATACCATTAAGTTTTTTTAAGACCCATGAGACCACGTTAGAGTCCTTGACTGTGAGCATATATATGTAAATTAAGAAAATTAACTGAATGTGATATATGTAAGGAGTATGAATAAGTTGTATCAAATGGTTGATGATGAAAAAGAAATTATGAGTAGAAAAATAACATATTCAATGTTAGAAGAGTATTTTGATGTATCAAACTATCAACCCGACCAACCCGTACGGTTTGGGTTGGGTTGGGTTGGGTTAGGTTGGGTTAAGATTTTTCAAACAGTAAGCATTAGGTTGTGTTGTTCAAATGTCTGCAACTCGATCAACCCAACCCATGAGCACCCCTACTTTCTAGTGCCTGGTCATTACGTAAACTACTGAGTTGGTAAACAATAATGGAATACTTAAACAATCTGAAACATCTGATATTGAAATTTGTTGCAACTTAGAACATTACAATATAATACAAATACTAAACTAGCATAAAGTCAAGTAAACAACATAAGATAAGTAGACTCCAACCGAAGAAATTGCATTTGCTCTTCCCCCCGTTGGTCATTGCCTTTGGCAACTCTTTCGATACATACTGATATCAGTTTTACGCTAAGCGAGATCATGGAAAGTCAAGCATAGTAATTACTCAACATGTAAAACATATTATTTTTTTAATTAAAGAGAAATAATATAAATTCAATATTAAAAATTTAAGGGAAAAAATGAAATTTAAAAATAAAAATTATATTTAACGCTGATAATAAGTAAAAATACTGATCTTTTACACCAACACCTCATTAGAACTAATTAAAACCATGCACAAAAAATGAAACATCCATTGCCGGCAAATCCATCATAACGACCGCCACCACCACCATCAACCGTCACGCCATGGACCATCATCACCGTCACCATCAGTCTCAATTGAAACGCAACCATTTAATTTGATTGCATTCATAACCCATTACACCCCTAGCCAAACCTTTGCAAATCATGAACCCTAATTGATTCCAAATTATCGGCTTATGCTTCTTTAATTATCGTTCTACGTCGAAGCCATTTTCATTCTTTTTTTCGTTTTCTAAAACCCAGTTGATAATTAAGTCACGTCACAAAAGTTAAAGAATATTTTTCCATCTTCTTGTCTCTATACAAGTTGATAATCCATATATGGAGTTTTTCGATCGTAACGACTTTTACAGATGAAATGCATAATAAAGTTCGAATCAGTACCAGTGATTACAAATCCAGATTTATTTTCTATGTCTTGAGATCTGTTCCGCTTTATTAACTATATTTTTTTCAGTATATTCTTAAAAGACTTAAAGACGTTGAAGTATAACGTATATAATAAAAGTTAAAATATGCAAGTAGGAGTTGACCAAAAATGTGTAGAGTTACATGCTTAATGGTAGGTTCAATTATAGTAAAGGGTTGATGGATCTAAATTGAACCAATTCAACATTTTGTTATCAATGGTTACTGTATAAAATAATGCAGTTAATGATGAAAATACGCGTGTTAAACCATGAATAATGTTAGTGTACTGAGTTTGTTTAGAATTCACGTCTTCGAAACAAATAACGTCGATTACTGGTTGTATTAGAGGTTGTCAATTATCTGTAACTGTTATATGAAATCCGATTAACTGTTATTTAAGGTATGTTTTAGAACATGCATTCTGGGTTTGTAATTATCTTGAGCGGTTACTGTACAATTGTTTTAAATAAGCGCTCGTGTGTTTCCTTGTAATCTTGATCTCTAAGTTAGCATTCAATTGCTTCGCCGCTTCGTGCCTCGTCTGCACTTAGGGAGTCAGGATGGACCGATTGTCTGTCTTTATCCAGACGATAGATAGTGAGGGGGGTACGAGTTCTGTTCAGTAGGAAAAGACCAGAAGAAATGGGATTCAAACCCATCTGTCATTTATACTAGACGACTTCATTTTCGGCAGGTCTGATTAATAATTAGAAATTCAAAATTAAGCCCAAGATAAAGCATGATTTAAAGAAATTCTGAATTACAGAACTTTTCATCATGAAAAGAAATAAAAATACATAAAACCCTGAATTACGGAATTTGGGTCTGATCTGACAGTGCGTCAAACTGTCGTACTATATCCATTCATTCAGGTATCAGACCCGTCATGACCTTTTCATGCATGGTCGCAGGTTCTATAACTTCCAGTTACATACATTTATCATATTACTGGTATTTAATAAACGTCTTAACTGATTGTTCATTTTGGTCCCAGCTATTAAAATATTTTATTGAAAAGTAAAATAATTTAATTATTAAAAAATCAAAAACAAAATTAATAAAATAATTAGTGGTTAAAGAATCTAGCTTTTAATGGTCAATGCAATCACTTTAGTGAAGCATCAATTGAACATGTTAGGCCTAAAATTTATAGGCAGGGGACCATTTAATTTCTGACCTTTTATTTTATTTATTATACATATAATAGTTTTAATTAAATATATAATATTTAATTTGATAAGAATATGAAAATGCAATTTTAATTTTAAATATATTATATATTATATGAATAAATAAAAATTCAAAGCAAAATTAAGAAATAATTAATATTAGCAAAAAAAATGAATAATTTGGTGCTATTTTTTTCCAAAAATAATTGGTCATAAGACATATATTCTACAATATATCTTGAAGTGTTACTATTTCGATTTGACTGTTACGATTTTAATGGTAGACGATGCTCGATTTCAAAGCGAATGCCGACTAAAATGAGCTTTCACACGTAATATCTCCGAGACAATACAAGAAAGATGATCTATGCAAGATATATATATATATATATATATATATATATATATATATATATATTGGTTCAAATACTAACCAATATTTTTGTATTAACTTTGTTAACCAAGCTCAACCAATCATATTCTATCTTTTCTTTAGGTTTACATATAACTCATATATTGATGACAAGGGTAATTAAGTAATTTGTCATTTATGTAACTCCCAAATTATTAATTGGGAGTTACAAATCTAAGAAACTCAATAATTGATGATTATGTAATATTGATATTTTTTTATACATGTTCATGTTTTGTAATTTCGATTTATTCTATCCATAATGATATTGATTTTGTAATTGTTAAAGAATTTCCGATTGTAAAAATTTCAATATCGTCCGAGTAATATAGATGAACCTATTGGAAAACAGATCGACAACAATGAGAATGAAAAGGTTAAAATCGTCTACGACTACAATCAGAATTCGAATTCATATGTAATTGTTAAAGAATTGTTCACAAGTGTTYATATTGTGTTCATATGTACACTAGCTGCATATCTCAATATTGGTTTGCTCCTAAATGTGTTCACAATGAAGGAACTATTGTTCACAAACTGTTCATATTGTGTTCATATGTACACTAACTGCATATCTCAACATTGGTTTGCTCCTGAATGTGTTCATAATGAAGGAACTATTGTTCACAAACTCTTCATATTGTGTTCATACATGTTTTTTAATATATTTACTTTCGTGTAGCAACTATTCTTATTATATTCATATTGTGTTCGTAAATGTTATACAGTCCAAGTTCATATATATGTCAATTTTTGTTCGTATTTGACACAATGATTCATATATAAATATATATATATATATATATATATATGTGTGTGTGTGTGTGTGTGTGTATGTTCATATGGTTCTTACATTAACAAAAATAAATTAATAAAAATAATGAGATTTTTTGATTTTGTAACTCCCAATTAATGATATGAGAGTTACATAATTTTTTTTACCTAAATACCCTTTTCCCCTTTATTTACATATGTTATTTGAAATTGTAAATTTAAAAATTTAATTTTTTATTATGATTAATCACAACCCTTTATTGTAAGAATCAATGGCCAAGATTGGTTAACAAAGTTAACATAAAAATCTTGGTTAGTATTTGAACCAATCTCTCTCTCTCTCTCTCTCTCTCTCTATATATATATATATATATATGAGACAATTCGTGTAATATATGTAACAGTTAGTTTGGCTAGACTTTGACCAGTCCAAATCGGTCGAAGAGAGGAAAAAAGAGATTGTACAAAGGACTTGATACCTGCTCTATCAGACGCATTTCAAAACTGTGAATCCAAGTGTGTGGAAAAAAACATCTGGTACGGTTGGCTTAGAATGTTACAAGTAGTATCAAAGTCGGGAATTGAACTGGTATGTCGGTGAGGACGTGGGCTCTAAGGGGGTGCCAACGAGTAATAAATTTATGGAATGTTTTTACAACCTAATTGATGTCAAAAAAATTAAAATTGCAAGTCCAGATATGAACAAAACATACAATATGTGGTACGATTGGTCTGTGATAAACACGCGGGAAAGAGCAAGAAAGATAATTCTGTATACAACAAAAAGACAAAGTATATAGTGACTGGAAAAGGTGTTTGTTACAAGTTTGCAATAAGAAATGTTTGTATATACAAGAGACAGACAGATAAATGCAATTATCGACTTTTAGGGTCATTTTAACAAATTCACACCACAATACACAACCATTCAAATAAAAAACGACCACTGGATTCATATCGTAGCATATATTCAGCAGCAGCAGCAGTCGACTTCTTATTTGTTTGGTTTGTACAACTCTCACCTCGATTAATTGCTTAACCAATAAGTCAACCACTTGTAACACCACAAATCACAGCAATCGTTCCAACAATAGCCTGCAATGCAAAAGGTGAAGCTACGGATTTATACGTGTTTAAGCCGATAATATCATCTTTATAACTTCTATTAATCGGGATTGATTCAAATTTATTGATTATATTCTACAAGCCTCGGTAATGCCTAGTGATTAAGTACACAAAGACTGCTAGGTGGCAAAAGTTCCACCGTTTTATTGGGTGTGATTCATGTTTTACTGACACAGATTGGGGAGTAAGTGTATGACCTAGGTCAGCAGTCATCCCTAATCACTGACCAAGTAAGGGGCTGTTTGTTAGCAGTTTAATGAGATAGGACTCGAAGTTTATTCAGTCAGCTATACATGATTGTTTGGTAGCGGCTCATTCATTAAGCTTTTAGAGGGGAGCTTTATGCAGGTAACGAAGTAGTAAACAACCCCTTGGTCTTTCAATAAACAAAATCTTTCTACTTTGACCTGATAGAGCAAATCTACTACAAACTTGGCCCATGAGGCAGAAATAGTAGAAAGGGCAATTTCAACCCATTTGTGTGAAAACTGGTAAATTTGGGTTACATTTTGTTGATAACAGGTCAAACAAATAAGATTAAATAAATTCGCTACAAAAAACATGTCGAACAGTTCAAAAGTGGTCCAAATTATACTCGAATGGTTGCAATCTCTTAAAAAAAATTCTCAAATCGATACAACAGAGTTTCAAATTATCCTATTTTGCACCAATTTTGACTACTAACTCCAAAAATTTTAAACTTTGTTACATTAAATAGGAAAATTCGGATTTGTTACATTAATTGAAAAATATTTCTTTGTTACGTTAATTGAAAAATATTTCTTTGTTACGTCAATTGAAAAATATTTCTTTGGTATGCTAAATAAAAATTAAGACAAACTTCATTGCATTTTAACTCTATATATAATATACTAAGGGGCTGTCTACAAAATGCTTACTAGTAAGAGTCACCTATCTCACCTTACTGGGTAAGATTCTCGGCCATCAAAATCGCATAGTAGGCAAGAGTCACCATTCTCACTTGCCATAAGATTGTCGGTCCTTACCATGCCTCTTATGGGGCAAGATTCTAGGCCCTTCTCATGTCCACCCAGTAAGGTAAGTTACCTTTCAACTCAGTAAGCACTTACCTAGTTAGTGTTTGGTAAACAACCCCTACCTATTTATGAAATCAAACATATTGGTGGGTCAGCCCTAGATAAAAATTTGCTCATTTTGACATGTTACATAACCTGTCCAACCTACTCATTTTTCCACCTATCAGTTAACGCACTACAGTGTGGTTAGCTGCGGAAATTGGAGGTATAGATTGTTTCTAATGATGTTATGGTATCGTTTTCTATTATACAATCCACATTTTTAACCCCTGCACGACTAGAGGAACTCCAAGGTAACAAACCAAGAGTTCCTAGGCGTACTGGAACGTGCGCGAACATAAAAAGAGCAATATTTGGCTACCATGAAAATGAATAAAAGGGTTCAAGAGTTGAGAGATCTTACGGCAATTAGGCATGCAACATATCCAGGTTTCTCTCGATCATCATATCTAGCACATAGTAGAATAAATGCTCCAACATACCAGGGGATTGCAGCTAAGAAGAAACCAACAATGAACCTTCACGAAAAAGAAAATACTGACAATGTTAAACCAGTTTGACTATGATGGATGATTGTATAAGGATGATAATACTAAGAATAGCCCATCATACATCACGAGAGAAGTTTAAGAGGGCGGGGGGAGCGTCCACAAAGAAGCAACACGTTATATAGAGAGAACTCTGACTTTCTCCCTTCATAGAAAGAAAAAAGACATATTTTCGATTTATCAATTATCATAGAGTTAAACCTTCTGAAGTAAATATTAAATGATAACTGTGACTTTAACAGTGGCGTAGTGCCGTTGGAGAAAATGATTCAGAAGAATAAGGACACAATACACCATAGTAACGTTCTAAAATGCAAGCATCTTTCTTGGGCTAAATAAAGTATTCAAATAAATATTTTCCAACTTATAATACAATGCAAATGAAGTTTGATAATAAGAACCCAGTGAAACATAGGAATAGATTCTGATCTCCTTTGAACCAAGAACATAAAGTTATAAACCATTATTTGACATAAATATGGAACTTGGGAGTAAAAAGAAAGCTTTACTTGGGCTTCCTTTCTTTCACCCACTTCTCAAGATGTATAAATTGTTAAAGTATAATTTTATCAAGAAAAAGATCAGTCATCCTGAGACATTCAACAAATTGATTCCCCACTTAATATTTTTTTCGATTAAAGATGTAGACAAAGATTATTGCTGGTTTCCTCTAAATACCAACTCTTCAACTTTGCTCATAGTGACTACCAAACCACCCTACTTCTATTAATGATTTACGCCCAAAGCTTTAGCAAAAGGCAAATTAGGTGGTTACTACCAATCAAGGCCACAACACATTCCCAATCTCAACCACTAATTGATAATAGGACTTCAATCAAGTGCATATATACTGACCAATTTCGAAAAGGTTAAACAAAAATGCCCTGAGACATGTAAAAGAACAAGCAGGAAGTGACTTTGAAACAATAATTAATAAAAAGCTTAAGAAAAGTAGGCATACTATGACTTCCGAGCATTGTCTCAAATTCTTCTCTTATTAGTTGTTATGCACTAAATAGAAGCAACTACTGTGATCTTTGGATGGTGGTCATATGAACACTTTAGAAACAACACATGGCATTACCCTATCGCACAAATAGTAGGCTTTTATCAAATCCATCAAAAGCAACAAATACTTATCGAAATTCAAAAGTAACCCCACATAACAAAAGTTTTATCCCCAATCTAGCAAGTTATACCATAAGAAATTGAAAAGAAAAACTAGCGAGATTATAGTTAGCAACAGTAATCGAGTCATGAATAGGCTCAACCGTAACATAATACATAGCAGCTTCAACTAACGAAACTTGTCACTGTGACTACTTGAGCAAACAATGTCTTTAAAGACCAGCCATACTTAGACCATGTCTTTTGGGATGCATATGGTTTCTGGATTCCTGCATCACCAGGAATGCGATGCATAAAATAAAAGGATGAAATTGCAGAACCCATGTGATGCCTAAAGTTAATTTCCTTTATTGCTGAAGATCTTACCCAGACTTCATAGGAAAATAGTGCTATTCAAATATTATATATACATCTTCAAACCATACTCATTTCATTTGAACAAAAGTGATGATCAAGGAGATCTTGAAAAACAAAATCTAGAGTGGTAATTGACTTTTCTTTCCATCACATGCATAACAAGTCGATAAATGATAAACTACCGAAACATGATACAAATTCGATGTTTTAAAAATGAAAACATCATTTGGCTCATTTAATTTGGAACGAGAGAAGATATGCAAAAAGCAAACATATACAAGAAACAAATAATGTAACAGGATGACAACTTACAAGAACCACCCAATACCAATACCACAGCAAGGAAGGCGACGTTCTCTCACAGGTCTTCCTTCAGCAACTGCATAACCTGGAACACCAGACAGTATGTTAAAGCAAAGGTAATGTATCTTCAAATAAATTATCATCCATCCAGAAATTAAGTGTGCCTATGTAAAGCTAGCATATGACAACTTCGTTATCAATCTCAAAGATAGAGGTTCATTGTTTGCTCAAGAGAGATCTTAATTCCTATTATCTTTTCTTGTGTCCATTAGTTGGACCTTGCCAGATTTATTCTATAAGCATGATTAACCACCAGGTCACCATTCCATTACCATAAGAACATAATGCTACCCGTTAACAACGCCCTTTGTTTTTCAACTCAAAAAATGGTTGACATCAATTTCTACTTAGGGTTGATCTCAAAATGATGATTATTAACTCCCCAAATCCAAGGTGATAGACTAAGGGCTTGTTTGGTTGGTTTTCCATGAAGTCTATATGGATTAATCTGTCTGTATAGATTGTGAAGGTTTTTGTTTGGGAAGGTTTTTTCATAGATGGAAGGAGCGTGTTTTTTAATTGGGAGGGACAGGTTTGGAACAAACTTGGCTTTCTACACAAAGCTCCACCACATAACCTTACTGAATAAGCCACTTCCTATATTATTAAAACACTACCAAATAGTCATTTATAGCTTACCGAATAAGTTGAGTCCCATTAAGCTTATTAAGCTGCTAACACACGACCCCTAACTCAATAATCTCCAATTCAGCTAAAAGCCTAAAACAATGGAAGGAAGCTTAAAGAGTCCCCAATTCTATCTCCCCAAAACTGTGGCATATAACCTACTAGAATCAGAAATTGAGTATCACTTAATAATGAGAGGAGATCAAAAATAGAAAGTCAGTTCTCATTCCATAGGCAAAATAGATAGCATACATACAGTGATACAGGTCATTTCTATTTACACTAATTGGAAGAACAAGAGGCATATTGTAGTTTGTGAACTCTTCATCCTGTTCCATAAAATTTCCTTCTTGATCAAATTAAGAATTCGATGAACTACCTCTTTGATATTCAATTTAAAAGTCCGATCATCCACATTGTAAGATATTGGAGTTAATCCTGTTCTACATGCAACTCATTTAACTTAATTAAGTGTTAAAGAAAGCTGAAAATTTCAAAAACAGGTCATAAACAAAGAGTAGGATCGGGTATTTGACTTTGATCTAAGGGAGTTAAAGTTTGAAATAGTGGTACCTGGGACGGCCTGGTAGCCATGGACGTAAGGGTTAACGGAAGGTCCACCTGATGCTCCGGGCTGCGGCATAGGCTGAGGGAAGCCAATCACCGGCGGAGGAGGATAATTGCGAACGCCCTGGAAAGTACCATACTGATGAGGCGGCGGTTGCTGCTGATCCTGATGATGTTTGTACTCCTGCTGATTGCTATCCTTTCCTGATTCACTCATAGTGTTTTGTTGAAGACGAAGTCGAAGGAAACAAACAGAAAATCTTTCTAGGGTTTATTAGATTAGATCTTTGGATCACAAGAAAATGGATCGTAATGTGTTTTCTGTACAGCTAATTGTGTACAGCACCGCCTAATTAGAGCTGGACACGTGTACATTAGATTTCATGTGGCACACGTTTTAGAACGACATTTTCATTTAGAAACCTCTCATTTCTCATAACCGGCCATAACCGGTCCCGGCGTAACCGGTCCCGGTCTCGGTCCTGGTCCCGGTCGAAAACAATAGGACCGGTATAGGTACTCTATAACCGGTTATG